AAAAAACATTTCATTAATTAAAAACATAGAAATTTAAAACCTAAAATTACTAAAACACACATAAAACCTAATAAATCAAATACTACACTACTTAAATTAAAAAAAAAAAAAAAAAAGTAAAACATAAAAACCGTAGAAAAATACTACTCGTCGTCATCATCCTCATCCGCCTCGTCGTCACCGTCTGCATTCTCGTCGTAATCATCGCCCTCATCCTCTTCGTCTCCATCGTCATTTCCCCCTTGGAGTTGTCTCCCCCATATGTGATCGGTCAAATCGTGCCGTATATTGTGATGTGAGAGAATTTGTATGTTTGATTTGAGAGAATTTGTATGATTGTTTTAAAAAATCGTATATAAGTGAATGTATATATAGATAGAGAAAGGAAATTAAAGGAAAAAAGTTTTTTTTTTATTTAATAACCCAGCCAACGGTCAAAATTAAAGGACCAATAAATGTACGTGTCTTCGTCCGTCACCACCAACTCACCGGAAAAATGGTGTCACATCTGTGCCACGTCACCTTCACCACCAACCCACTCCACATAGGAAATTGTCACCACTAACAACATTCACTTTTTTATTATTTTTTATTTTTTTTAACATTATGTTAAATAAATAACATAATTTATAAAATAGGTAACTTTTTTTATTTTTTGTAACACTATATGAAATAAAAAACATAATTTATAAGATAAATAAATTTTTTGAAAACACGAAAAGAAAAAAACATTTCATTAATTAAAAACATAAAAATTTAAAACCTAAATTTACTAAAACACACATAAAACCTAACAAATCAAATACTACACTACTTAATTTAAAAAAAAAGTAAAACATAAAAACCGTAGAAAAATATTACTCGTCGTCATCATCCTCATCCGCCTCGTCGTCACCATCTGCATTCTCGTCGTAATCATCACCCTCATCCTCTTCGTCTCCATCGTCATTTCCCCCTTGGAGTTGTCTCCCCCATATGTGTTCGGTCAAATCATGCCGTAGATTGTGATGTGAGAGAATTTGTATGTTTGATTTGAGAGAATTTGTATGATTGTTTTAAAAAAATTATGTATAAGTGGATGTATATATAGATAGAGAAAGGAAATTAAAGGAAAAAAGTTTTTTTTTTATTTAATAACCCAGCCAACGGTCAAAATTAAAGGACCAATGAATGTACGCGTCTTCATCCGTCCTGGGAGCCACGCCACCACCAACCCACTGAATCCAGGGGCGGTGTTCACGCGTGGAGAGAGCCTCCACGTAAGCATTTCACGCGTGGAGGTCCCTCCACTCCTGGTAGCCTAATAGAGTATGTCATACATTTGAGTTTTATGGGTTACATATTAATGTGGGCTATGAGTCATTCGTAGATCATGATGAGCATATGGTAGACCCTAAGAGTGCTAAATGGAATGAGACTATGGAGAAGGAGATAAAATCAATGTATGTTAACCAAGTTTGAAACATAGGTGCTGTTTGTTTTTTTAGAAAAACCTCTTCAAACCACTTTCTGCTGCGCGGCGCAGCACACGTGCAGCACTTTCCCTCTCGCATCAGTTTGTTTTTGGAAGACTTCAGACTGCAAAACCTCTGCGTGTGTGCTGCGTGGCACAGCACTTGACTTGTCTCTTTAAACCTCTCATCTTTCAATTTTTTGAAGTGTTTTTTTAGAATTTTGGTATAACTTATTTTTTTAAAACTTTTATTATGGATTTTATACAATTTCTTATTATAGTTTCCACAAAATTTTTTAACTTGATTTTTTTTTTTAAAAAAATCTTTGATTTTTTTAATTTTTTTACCGTTTCCGTTAATAATATTTTCAGTTTCAGTTTCATCTTTTTTAACGTGTGTAATTTTTTACGAACTTTGTAAACATCGTTTGCAATACTTTCTTAATTTTTTTTATTATTTTCTTTTTTATGTTTTTAAAATTAGTTTTTTTTTCTAGAATAAAGTTGTTAGCTTCTTTTATATTTTTGTAAGTTTTTTATAGAAAGTTCTATATTTTTGTTTTTTTACATGTTCTTTTTAGTACCCTTTCAATGTTTTAAAACTAGAATTATTAAAATTTCGGTGTTGAGAACTATTTTAAGTTTATAAAATTAGTTTATTTAAATTTCAGTTTACTGCAGCAGTCTGCAGATGTTAAAAAACAAACATGCTTCTTATTATGGGTTGCAGCCGTTTGTTCCACCTCTTCTGCTACATAGGATTACAGAGGTGGTCCGCAGACTTCATGAATTTTCGCTTCGAAAAAACAAACAGCACCTTAGTTTATCATACACATTGCCTTAAAATAGTCGGCCGCAAATAGTTCTTCAAGAAATAGATTGACATGGATGGAAATGTGCATACATACAAATCACGAATAGATGCAAAAAGGTTATACTCAAACTTAAGAAATTTATTATGAGAAAACCTTTTTACCGGCGGCAATGGTAACGTCTGCTAGGATATAATTTGTCATAACGACACTTTATGACTATGAAATATGACAAATGGATGTAAAAATCGTTTTCCTTAATGGAAATCTTACAGAAGATGTATATATAGCACAACCAGCTGACTTTGTACAGTCCAAGTATCCAAGTAAAATGTGTAAGCTTAAGAAATCTATTTATGTTAGAGTTGGTGGGAGTGTTGTTGTTTTCCTTGTGTTGTATATAGATAACATACTCTTCATAGGAAACGATGTCCCAAGCTTGCAAAGTGTAAAGACTTGCCTTGGAAATTGTTTCGATATGGAAGACTTAGGAGAAGCATCGTACATACTAGGTATAAAGATCTACAAAGATAGATCTAAGAGAATCATTAAATTGAGCCAGAGTACATACATAGATAAAGTCTTGAAGAAATTCAAGGTGCATAACTCTAAGAAAGGGTTCGTGCCTATGGAGCATGGTCTGAAGTTGAGCTCAGTGTCCTAGTTATAGTGAGGAGTTAAAAAAGTTGAGTCGAGTACCATATACTTTGAATGTGGGATCGTTCCTATACATCATGATATGTATTAGGCCTAATGTCTCATGTGATTTGACCATGTTGAGTCGTTATCAGGCTAACCCTAGTGAAAATTATTGGAATGTAATTAGTAACATTCTTAAGTATCTTAGGATGATGAAGGACATATTCTTGATTTATGGAGGTGTAGAGGAACCTGATGTAAAGGGGTATATAGATGTTAGTTCCCAGACTGATAGAGACGATTCTTGTTCGCAGTTGGGATTTGTGTTCTTACTTAATGGTGGAGTAGAAACTTGGCGGAGTTCTAAGAAGGATATAGTAGTAGATTTGACGATAGAGTCTGAATATATAGCAACTAATGAAGCTGCAAAGGAGACAAGATGGATGAATGAATCCATCATAGATCCCGTGTTATTTTGTAACATCCCAAAAATCAGCCATAATTTTTTTTTAAAAAAATCAGAGTATGAAATTACTAAAAGGGGATTCCATCGATAACATAATCAAGCTCAGTATCACAAAATCATCATCAAAAGCGGAAGCTATATTCTTGTTTTGAAAACAAAGTTATAATACATAAACATAGATTAGATGTCATGCCCTCGAGAATGTCCAAATATCCTAATCAATCCATATCCTTTCCCTTCAAACTTGAAGGACCTGCAACCAGGGACGGATCTAGTATGGTGCCAACGGTGGCACCGGCAACACCTAGTTTTTCCCGACGTAGTGCAACATTTTCGATTTTTTTTCTTTTTTCTACTATAAAATGTGCCACTGGCAACACCTACTATGGATCGGCAACACCTATTACGGACCGGCAACACCTACTAGAGAATCATGGGTACGTCGCTACCTGCAACTAAAGACATAAAGTAGCATCTGTAAGCTTAGGATTAATGAAAAATCACAACACTTATTCATTATACAAATCATATGCAACTTACATCATACACATAAACATAGGATAATCTATCATTGACAACTTCCCACCGAGAATAATATATCACATAACATATGCTAACATAGATAACACAATTACAACTAGATTCCCTCCGAGAGACTTTTCTCTAGTTAACCAATCATTGGCAACTTCCTTCCGAGAGGCTTTTTGTGATCTTACATCCTTTTAATTCAATTAGATTCCCTTGAGGATTTTCTCTAGTTGACCATTCTTTGACCATTTCCCTCTAAGAGACTTTTCATGATCACACACACACACACACACACACACACATATATATATATATATATATATA